GTAAGGTGGTATCTCATTGTGGTTTTGATTTCTATTTCCCTGATGGCTAGTGATGTTGAACATTTTTTCATGTGTCTGTTAGCCATTTGTATGTCTTCTTTGGAGAAGTGTCTATTCATGTCTTCTGCCCATTTTGACGTACAGAATCTCCCACAGTCTGGATTTTGTTGACTGTATTCCTACGGTGATCCTAGTGGACACGTTCATCTGCTCCAGGTATTTCCTGATACGTGGTATGGTATTTTGGCAATGCTTCATAGGAAATATTATCACTTCAAAACTTGTTTTGAAATAATTTTAGATCTACAGAGGAGTTGCAAAGATAGTACAGTATTCCCATATACCTTTCACTCAGTTCCCTCCAATGTTAACATCTTACATAAGCATGATACATTGGTTAAACTCAGAAATTAATATTCATAAATAGTATCAACTAAAATAGCTTACTCAGGGGGCACCTGGCTGACTCAGTCAGTAGAGCATGGGACCCTCCATCTCAAAGTTCTAAGTTTGAGCCCTGCATTGGGTGTAGAGATTACTTAAAAATAAAATAAAAATCTTAAAAAAAAAAAAAACAGTTTACTCAGATCTCACCAATTTTTCCTCTATGTCCTTTTCCTGTTCCCAGGACCAATTCAGGGTATCACATGGCATTGAGTCTACATGTCTCCTTGGTCTCTTCCATCATGGGACAGTTTCTTGGTCTTTCCCTGTATTTCATGTCGTTGACACATTTAGTAGTAGTCAGGTGTTTTGTAGAATGTCCCTCAATTTGGGGCTGATTATTTTGTCACGAACACACTGAGGTGATGAATTATTCTGGAAGCCTACCACGGAGATGATGTGTGTGCCCTTGCTATATCGTATCAGAGAGGAGTACACAATATTAACATGACTTATTACTGGTGATGTTAACATTGATCATCTGGTTAAGGTGGTGGTTGCCAGGTTTCTCCAATATATAGTTATTTTTCCTTTCCATACTGTATTTGTTAGAAACAAGACACTAGGGGTGCCTGGGTGGCTCAGTTGGTTGAGCGTCTGCCTTCGGCTCAGGTCACGATCCCAGGATCCTGGGATCGAGCCCCGCATTGGGCTCCCTGCTCAGCGGGGAGCCTGCTCCTCCCACTCGTGCTCTGTCAAATAAATAAAATCTTAAAGAAAAAGAAACAAGACACTAAATCCAGCTCTCACTGATGGGGAATTAATAAGCTCCACCTTCTGGAGAGAGGGGATATCAAAAAATACGTGGTCTTATGTTAAAACCACCAAGGTAATTTCCAGGGGGATACTTCTGAGGCTAGGCAAATATACTCTCCCTCCTTAAAGGTGTGCCTACTAATTTTAGTATTCACTGATGGACCTTCCCTACGGTAATTATTACCATGGTGTTCAAATGAGGGTTTTCTTTTCCCTCCCTCCTTCTACATTTATTTATTGTTAAAAGATTTTACTTTTACGTAATCTCTAAACCCAATGTGGGGGTCAAACTCACAATCCCAAGATCAAGAGTTGCATTACATGCTCTACTGACTAAGCCAGCCAGGCTCCCCTACATTTCTTAATTAAAATTATTATTTTTTCCCCTGTTCATCCAATTGTTTATTTATAGCAAAATGGATTCATGAATATTTACTTTATCCTTTGAGTTATAAACCAATAATATCATGATTTATTATGTCGCTCAAACTGTCCAACTTTGCACTTGGGTGCTCTTTCAGGTTGGCCTCAAGTGGTCAAAGTGAATATCATCAAAGAGACAAACCAGTATCACTGGTCTTCTATGAGATGTGCTAAGGACACTTCGCTTCAGTGATATTCTTGCCATACATTTTTTTTTTTCCCCTTTCTTGAGTAGTTGCTCTCTTGCACTACAAGATGCTACAGGTTCATCTTTTATTTCCTTTGTTCCAGCTGTAGATGCAATCATTTCTCCAAGTAGCCCTGGTTCCTTTCACTGGAGAAAAGAAACCAAGATCTGAGCATATATTTAATTATTTAGTAAAGTTATTCTTCTATACAGGTTAAAAAAATTTTTTTAAATATTCCTGTTTTTCTTCCATTTGACTATTTTTTTCTAGTCAATGCTAATTATTTAAAGCCTGCTAATTTATGCCAGAACAACAAAGACATCTAGTTCTAGTTACTACTTTTAATAAAGTTATAAATGGCCTAAACGTTCCTAAATATTTGTACCTAAACGGTATTTTCATATATAGCAAAGAAATACTATTTATAAAGAGGAAAGAGGCACCTAGATGGCTCAGTCAGTTAAGCATCTGACTCTTTAAGATTTCGGCTCAGGTCATGATCTCAGGGACCTGGGATCAAGACCTGCATTCGGCTTTGCACTTAGCATGGAGTCGGCTTGGGATTCTCTCTCTCTCCCTCCCACTCTGCCCCTCCCCACCCCACTCAAGCGCTCTCTAAAATAAATGAATAAAATCTTAACTAAATAAAATTTAAAAAATAGGGAGGAAAAAACTATAGCTACGCTTTTAACATGTATGATACACTGCAGAAAAATACAAAAACATACTACTTACAAAAAGTTTAAAAGCATGAAAAAATACTATAAATACAGTTTAGAAATTTAAGATATATGTAGTATGTAAGCACATGAAAAAAAAACCCACCAAATTTAGGATACTGGTTTGGGGACAGGGAGGTGGGAAAGAGAAAAAATGATCAATGAGAGGTATACACAGAACATCAATTCTATTAGCAATGTTTTATTTTTTTAGGGTGAGTGGTAAATACACAGAATGGCCAGTGGATTTCATAATACTTTTTAAGATATAAATGAACTGGGGCATCTGGGTGGCTCAATCAGTTAAGCGTCTGCCTTCGGCTCAGGGATTGAGCCCTGCATCTGGCTCCCTGCTGAGCAGGGAGCCTGTTTCTCCCTCTGCCACTCCCGTTTGTGCTTGCTCTCTCCCTCTCTGTCAAATAAATAAATAAAATCTTAAAAAAAAAAAAGGATATAAACAAACTAGGAAGATTAACCATGCAGCTGATCCATATAAAAGTCAAAAAAAAGTACTTACTACCACTCAAAATAAGCTAGTAGACAGACTGATTTTTAAGTCTGGGAAGACAAAAACAGAAGTAGACAACTATCAAGAGTATAAACAGAATCACTAAATACTAAAATGCAAAACTCTGGGTACTTAAAATCATATAGAACTTGTTATTCCAAAGAGGAAATATGGTTGGAAAGCAATAGATGAAGGTTAAATACAGTTATGGTTAAGTGATAACAGCTTATTAAAAGGCAGCTAAGAATACAAAGGAGACACAGTGCTACAAAACAATGGAACACATCAAGAAGACACAGGAACCCGGAGAGGAGTCCCACTTGCTAAACCTGGGACAATGTGAGCTTCAAAATTACAACGGATTATAACGCCCTGGGAAGAATAAGAACTATGAGTCCACACCATAATAAATAAGAACTGGTTTAGGCCAACAACATCTTAAGTGATCAAAGTTAATCACCAATAAGACAAACCAACACCATGTACCTTCTATGTGACGCACTGAGGACATCACTTCACTGATACCTGCCAAAAATGTGTAATCTGAATCTTGATTAGGAGGAAAAAGATAACCCAAATTGAGGAACATTCCGCAAAAGAAATGGCCTATATTCCAAACTGTCAGTGTCATGAAAAACAAAGGCTAAGCAATATTTCAAAGTAAAGGAGAATAACGAGACAGGACAACAGAATGCAACGTGTGATCGTAGACTGGGAGGAAAACTGACATAAAAACATTGGGACAAATGGAGAATTGTGAACATGGCATGATATCAATGTTAAATGTCCTGGCTTTAATAACCATTCTGTAGTTTTATAAGAAAATGTCCTTATTCTTAGAAAATGCACTGAAATATTTAGGGGTGAAGGGGCATGATGATTGCAACTTCCTCTCAAATGGTTCAGAAAACACTGAATGTTGGTATGTGCACATACAAATACAAGCAGATATGAACAGAACCTTCAGGCAGATGTGGCAAAACGTTAACTAGCAGGTTTGGATGAAGGATATAGGGAGTTCTTTCTAAAATTTTTGCATATTTGTGTAATTTTGAAATTACTTCAAAATAAAAAGCGCTTACCAAAAAAAAAAAAAAAATGCTGTGGAGACACTGTTATCTTTCAAGAGGAACAGAGGGCAATGACTATGCTTTCAAAATATTCCTCTGGTCCAACATCAGGCTAGTGATTAGGTATGACATTAGCGTAACATTAGATTTTTATTTAAAGTAATGATTCTTATTGACCATAAAAATGCATGCACTTTTGTGGCTTTGGTCAAAAGAGTCTGGAAAACTGAAGAGACTCATCTTTGGTGAATAATACATACGCACTTCCTTTTACCTGAGACATCCATCTGTCATCTCCTTGAATATCTTCTGCTGCATGTGGAATAGCTGCTGGGTTTGAGTCCCCTTGGCTCATTCTATACCTGAGGGGAAAAATGTCTACGTCATGTTTCATTCATTAACAGGAACGTTTGTTGCCACTTAAATATTACATGCTAGGTTTTAAATAATAATTTAAGTCTCATTGTGGCTTTGCCTAGAAATGAAACTGGAGTTTATTTTCAGTAGACGTGAGTTCTAGGACATGACTGCTTAAGTCCCACGAATATCTAGCATCCTCAAACTTCCAGACAGGTTCGAGTATCATTTAGGAACAGTGCATTACAATGAAAAAATCTGCTCCAAGTATATACTTTACATCTACATTAATTTTTCATGATTACATGTTAATGCAAGCACCAAATGACATAAGGGATCAGACACTTAAGAGTTCAATGAAACCTGCATTAGAGGCTTTTAGACTGCTCCAGTTAGACACTGGAGAATTGCTATAGCCTGATTAGAATCCATTGGTTACTAAATATCACACAAATAACTACTACAGATTGTGACAAAACTAGTCATAGGCTTTGGCACTGGTTTTTGACAAATGTTTACTAGGTATTTTATTTTTGATAGGTATCCACCAAGAAAATGTTATTAATGACGAGTTCAAATACGGCATCTGATAGTGGAGAAGGTGTAAGCGAAATTCAGAAAACCTAGAAATGCTAATCTAGAAAGACAAAGACACCAGACTGTTTTCAGTCAACTCTGGAGAATACATACTAGAGACATCAGGCTCGAGAAATCACTTGGCATATACAAAGAATGGTGAAAAATAGGAAAATCTGGGGTTTTGTGGCTTAAAGAGGACCATTCTCTTTTTCTTTCCCTTGCTATCATCAAATACAGCTAAGCTTTCTCTGAAAAAGGACTGAGTTCTATTCATTCAATAAGTATTTACTGAGTAAACAAAACACACTAGATTGGCACAGCAGTAATTTTTGAGAATCAGAAAGTAACAAAGCTCTAAATGTGAAAATATACCTTTATTCATGAAAAATACATTACAGAAGCAAACCAATGTTTTAACACTAACTTTGCAAACCAATTAGTTCCACTCTAAATGACACTAGGTCTAAGAAAATTAGGCTTAGGGTTAAACCCGTATCTAACTCGAAATGTAAAACATCATCCACACCCTGTGTACAGACCTTCCTCAACTTATAATAGGATTACATCTGGATAAACCCATCATAAGTTGAAAATATCCTAAGTACGGGCACCTGGATGGCTCAGTCCTGACTCTTGATTTCAGCTCAGGTCATGATCTCAGGGTCATGAGATTGAGCCCTGTGTGGGCTCCAGGCTCAGCAGGGAGTCTGCTTGAGATTCTTGCCCTCTCCCTCTGCCCCTCTCCCCGCTCGCATGCTCTCACTCTCTATAATATAAATAAATAAATCTAAAAAAAAAAAGAAAAATCCCAAGTCAAAAATGCATTTAATACACCTAATCTACCAAACAGCATGACCTAGCTTACCTGAAATGTGCTCAAAACACTTCTATTAGCCTACAGTTGGGCAACATCATCTAACACAAAACCTATTTTACAGTAGAGTACTGAATATCTCCTGTAACTTACTGAATACTGTACTGGATGTGGTAAACAGAATGGTTGTCCCCGTATCGGATGCTGACCCTCATGGTCACATGGTTGACTGGGAGCTTCGGCTCACTGCCACTGCCCAGCATCACCAGAGGATCCTGTCGCATGTTGCTAGCCCAGGAAAAGATCAAACTTCGAACCCTGCCCTGCGCGTGTGGGGTGGGTCGTGTGGGGTGGGGAACCACCCTGCCCTAGGTGTGTGGGGTGGGTCCGGTGTCTTTATGATAACCACCTGTGACCAACAAAGAATAACTAGCCCCTAAAAAGGAAGTAAGCCATCGAAGGTGTTATAAATAGAGATGTTTAAAGGATTTAAGTTCCCTGGTTAGCTTTCTATAAAAGACCAACCTTAAAGGCCCTTGTACGCAACCCTGTGGGGACCCCCTCACTCTTGAGAGCTTTTTCTGTATCTTCAATAAACTTTATTCACATACACACACACAAAAAATCAAACTTCGAAACTGGAAGTACGGTTTCTACTGAATGCATACGGCATTTACACCATTGTAAAGTCAAAATATCATAAGTAGAACCATTAAGTCAGGGACAATCTGTATATATTTATTTAGATTACTAAAATTTGCAACTATCAGAAAATAATAGCTATCTATGAAGGACTACATATGCCATGTTTTTTATACATACCACTTCCAATCCTTGCAAAACGAAAAAAACGAGGATCAGATAATTTAGGTACTTTGTGCAGTAAGTGAAGGAAATTAGGTTTGCTTGACCCCAGTAATGTCACATCTGGCCCACTAATTCACAAAGCAGTTCATGCTGACTCCCTGAAGAGGCCTTGTATCTTTTTTTTTTTTTTTTTTAAGATTTTATTTATTTGAGAGAGAGAGACACAGGAGAGAGGGAACACAAGCAGGGGGAGTGGGAGAGGGAGAAGCAGGCTTCCCACCAAGCAGGGAGCCCGATGTGATGCGGGGCTCGATCCCAGGACCCTGGGATCCTGGGATCATGACCTGAGCCGAAGGCAGATCCTTAACAGCTGAGCCACCCAGGCGCCCCGAGGCCTTATATCTAACCGTTTCACCCAAAAAACATAAACTACCTGGAGCTAAAAACATCAATGTAAAATACAAGAATTGGAAAGAACTGCAAGATGAATCTGTATAGCTCCAATCAAATTATGGTATCTGGTTGAGGCTTCACTGCCTGAGAAAAGTATGGGAAAATTAAAAGATTCATAAAGGACAAAGAAAAGGGGAGCCTGGGTGGCTCAGTTGGTTAAGCGTCTGCCTTCGGCTCAGGTCATGGTCCCAGGGTCTTAGGATCGAGCCCCGTACGGGCTCCCTGCTCCATGGGAAGCCTGCTTCTCCCTCTCCCACTCCCCCTGCTTGTGTTCCCTCTCTCACTGTCTCTCTCTCTGTCAAATAAATAAATAAAATCTT